CTCCCTAGCCTTGGTGTGTGCTTGTGTGTGTGGTAGTGATGAGTGCTTGCCAAGACCTACAGAGTGCTGAGGCATCAGGGGGAAAATGGCCAGAATGAGTAGTCTCTAGACGTCAGTTCTCGGAGCCCCTGCTTCATACTTGTCCTAGACTATTAAGGGGTCAGTGTAACACTGTGGTTAGAAAGGTGGTGGCCTGGGGTTCCAGTCTCACTGTCAGAGCTTGCTCTGTAGTTTTGTCCTTACCATTTGCCACCATGAGCTTCAGGCTCCTCATTCACAAAAGGCTGTGATGGGACTCTGCTGTTTGGAGAATGACATTATTACCTCCCCTGCCCCCAAGGTGAAAGCCAGGCATCCCCATGGGCCTGCGTGAAGCTTGACTCTTCCAATCAAGTGTTCCAACAAAGACTCCCTGCAACAGGGAGCAACACAAAGAGGGTCTGATATGCGGGATCTGCTTTCCAGGGTGAACAGTGGTACAGAGGGGCTAGGGGGCAGAGTCCCCATATCCAGGCCCCTGGGCTAGTGATGTGAGTTGTGGGATCTGTGTCTGGTCCAGCAGCAGCATCAGTCAGATCTGACACTGTGTGGTTTGGGGATGTTCCCAACTTGGCTCCCTGGTTTCCAGGCCATGGGCTCCCCTAGGCTATTTGGAGACATGGTGCTAATTAGACAAAATTTACTGCCATCTGCTGGAAATTTGTTATGATATACACCTCTATTGTCTAACAAATGTAGAAATCTGCTGGGGCATGAATGACGTGTGCGGTGTGCATCCTGCACGACTAATCTCAGTGGCCCTGAAAGCTTAACTCTCTGACCCTGTGGAAATTCTGGGAGAGCTTCAATTTCCTCTAATAAATAACTTTTGTACTTGTGCTGACATTTGCTTAGGAACTCTGGCTGATGCAAATGGGTTATAATGATACATTTCTCAAAGGGCTAAGAACAAGATGATTGATGGATGTAAGAGTTCATGAAGAAGGCATCAGGCACATATGATACTCAGAGGGTCGGTGTTTTGTGTATTAATTTTTAGCAAAACATGGGAAAAGGGTCTGATTCACTCTCTTCATTCTTTATTCTTTTGCTTTTGTGGTCAGGGTCGGAGTTCACGATTAAAAAGAGGAAAGACAGGATGAAAATGAGAGTGCATGCTATAAATGTGTGTTATAAATATTCCAGCAGGGAAACTCACAGGGAGATGGCCCTGTCATGTCTGGTTCAGCAGCAGTGTGTCTCCTAGTGTTACAAGGAGAGATGACATCAGCCTGGGCATTATTTGTCTGATGACTGACTGACTGCTGGGGGGCGTCTGACTGCAGATAAAGTGATCAGTTTCCAGTTTCTCCAGGAGAGGTTTGAGTAGTTTTGCCCTGATTGGTAAGAGCCTTTAAGGGCTCATTTTTTGGGTTCAGGCCATGAGGGCACCATCGTTCAGGGTCCCTACAGCACCTTCTGTACAGGGTGTGCCGTCAGGAAGGAAAAGACTCAGGGCGTCTTCAGGGAATCCTTCCAGCAATTTATGGAAGCACATGTCTGATTCAGTCCTCAGCCTTTCTAACCCAAAAGGAGGGAATCAGGTTATTTACTTGCTGCCTGCATTCCTGGTCTCCTGAGCCAGGCAGTTGGTTGGTGGGTTAACGGGCTTGTAGCTGATACTGTGCTGGTGGCTTCAAGGCCCCTCTCTCCGCCCAGGAGAGCTGTCCTTGTTTGTTGCTGGAAGCCTGATTCTGTGACAGGAGCAGGGATGGCCAGAAGGGGGAGCCTGTGAGCTGTCAGGGCCTCCTCTGGAGTCTGGTTGGGAGTGGAAGGGCAGAGGGGCACCCAAATAATGGGTGGCAGCTGGGGTCAGAAGAATAGGAAGCTGGGAGAACATAGGACACGGTGGGGTGGGGAGTTGGAAGTGCAGGTGTTGTTGGTTATAAACCTCTCTGATTCTAGAACTTATTCCGTAACATCCTGGTCTCTGATGCTCAGAACAGGTGCCAAGTTCATGGCTTTCTTGGTGCCTGAAGGACTGCATTTGGGTAGGCCCCTGGCCAGAGTCTCATTCCACATGCCTAACCCCAGCTGGCACTCTGGAGGGACTTCCCTTACTGTTCCCTTCTCTGACAGTGTCCCCTCCTACGGCCCACTGCCTGCTCTCACTCTTGGTGAGCTCAGAGGACCCTCAGGAAACTGGCAGCAGGGGTGCTGGAGAGAGCAGGAAGGGGCACTAGAGGCTGGCAGGAGGTTCCTGTCCTGCTAGGACAGGGGTGAGCTCTGGGGCCACACTTCCCTGGGAGCCTGACAGACAGGGAGCCTCACTTCTTCTCAACTCATGGTTCTCAGGTCCCTCAGTGGGAGCTCTCAATGAGTGTCTAAATGAGTGCCCCTTTCTCTTGCCCTCACTTACAGTGGGTCACCAGTGGGGCTGGGATGGGGAAGGCACATAGTCCTGGGCCGCCAAGTTGGCTCTGAGAACTTGTCCCGACTTTTATTGTCACTCATTCTCTGGCAGTCCTCCTGTGGCCATAGAGGGTTTATGTGCATCTTTCACAGACCAGGTAGGAGGAACCCAGGAGGCCATGGAAAAGCCCTCCTTCCTGTACAGGAATTTACCCTCCAGCTTTCTTGAAAGATTGAGCCTTTCCAATGACAGAGAGCTCACTCCTTCCCAAGGGACCCATTCTGCTTTAGCACAGCTCTAAATGTTAGGAAGTCACCTTTCTCTGTTTGGGCATTGGTTGCCTGCTGGAATCTCTCTGCTACTGGGTTGAATTGGCTAAATTCTTGGCAAAGCCCTTCCACCATTCATCACGGAGAAGCCCCAGTGTGTTTCAGTGTGTTCCTTAAGCCTTCTTCTCCAGGGGAAGCTGTGCATGCTTCTTTGGCCTGTTCTCAGAGGCCTTCTTCTCTTCCCTCCACTCCTCCTTCTTTTCCCTGAATGTCTGTTGTTGTCAGTACCCAACCTCCTTAGCACCTTGGAGCCACATTTGGTGGCCACCATAGAATTCTCACCTGGCTGGGGCTGTCCGGATCCAACTTCCCACTTCTTCCTCCCTCATCTTCACCCCATCCCTCAGTGGACATGAGCCCCAGGATGAGCACCAAAGCATCCCAAAAAGTCTAAGCCAGTGGAGTCTCATGGCCTTGTGTTCTTGCAACCAGATTGCCTGCCTCCAGCCATCAGTCATGAGCCGGGGGCCTATCAAAGCTGAAGGGTATCCATGGAACATTCTGACTTCACTAGAAGATTCTGGAAAAGCCAACCACTTTACCTGGAAAGTAGTTCAAGACATCCTTTTTATATGAAGACAAATGCACATGTGTTATGTAATAGGTTACAGAGGCATGAATTTCAAAATTGCAACAGGCAACTTCAATGGAGCATCAACCTATAAGAAGGTCACTTCAGGCTGTTTCTTTATACTTCAGCCCCTCCCCAGTCAGTCAACTGGCTGGGTCCTCTGCTGAGGGATGTTTAGGTGGAGAACTCCTTTAGTACAAAGGGTCAGGAAAGAGCGGACCAGCGTGGAGAAGTGATTAGCCTGAGGGTACACAGCTCAGAGGGATCTGGATTGAAAATCCAGATCTGTTCTCTTTGGGCATCAAGAAATGCTGCACATAAAGTGTAGGCACATAAAGTGCCTACCTCAGCAAGAAAAGGAATTGAAACCACAAAGAAGGCCCTAGATTAGTCCTTGGTTATCCAGAAAGTGCAGTTCAAATAATATTTTAACCCTTAAAACGTTTGCTCTGGGTTTATGCTTTGAACAGAGTGCTGCTTATTCAGTGAGGGGAAATATATAT